AAAGTAGTAAAATCAACAAGGATCACAATACTTATTTAAGGGATACACAAGATAAAAAGATGTAAAATGTGAGATCAAAAATGGAATGTGTGAGGGATAGTAATAATATTGAATTTTAAAACGGCATCAAACGTAAGTTGTTATCAACTTAAAATAGACTGATATGGATATAAGTTGTTAAATGTAAGCCTCATGATAACTACAAAGAGAAACCTATAGTAAATACACAAAAGGGAAGGAGAAAGGAGTAAAAGCATACCACTAAAGAAAGATATTAAACTTGCGCTCAGAATAAAACTTTAAACTATTTTATCTTTCAAGAGTTGAATTTTTGCCCAGCTGATGTGGCTCAAAGGTTGAGCATCAACCTATGAACCAGGAGGTCATGGTTGGATTTCCAGTCAGGGCACATCGCCAGGTTGCAGGTTCGATCCCCAGTTGGGGCATGCAGGAGGCAGGTGATCAATGATTCTCTCTCATCATTGATGTTTCTATTTCTCTCTTCCTTGCCTTTCCTATCTGAAAGCAATAAAAACATATTTGAAAAACAAAAGTATTATGCTAAGTGAAATAAGTCAGACAGAAAAATACAAATACCATATGATCTCTCCTATATGTGGAATCTATCCTATATAATAAAACCCTAATATGCAAATCAACTGAATGGCAGAACGACTGGTCGCTATGACACGCACTGACCACCAGGGGGCATACGTTCAATGCAGGAGCTGCTCCTGGTGGTCAGTGTGCTTCCATAGAGGGAGCACTGTTCAGCCAGAAGCTGGGTTCACGGCTGGCGGGTGCAGCGGCGGTGGTGGGAGCCTCTCCCACCTCCGCTGCAGGTGGGTGGTAAAGAGTGAAGGGTCCTGGACTGTGAGAGCCCCAGACTACAAGAGGGGTGTCTGACTACTGGCTGGCGACATCCCGCAAGGGGTCCCAGACTGCAAGAGGGCTGAAGGACCTCCCCCACCCCCAGTGTGTGAATGTCATGCACTGGGCCTCTAGTAAATAAATAAAGAAACAAATGAATAAATAAATTAATCCAAGCTCATAGGCACAGAGAACATATTGGTGGTTGCCAGAGGTGGGGGCTGGAGAAGAAATGGGGTAAACAGATTTTTTTCCCCGTTAAAATAAATGGAAAAAACTAAACAAAGAAAAAAAATTGGCAGGATATTCCTAGTGAAAAGGGGAGTTCTGAGGTCAACCGTGAATAGGAAATGTGTGGTTGATAAAGCTAATACAGGTTTCTTTAGGGAAGGACTCCTAGAGCAGTGGCTCTCAGCCTTGGCTGCACATTAGAATCACCTGGGAATCTTTTTAAAATCCTGATTTCTGGGCCTCATCCTCTGGAAATTCTGTTTCTTTGTTAGGGGTGGGGCCACAACATTAGTAACAAAGAAACCGGATTTCTGGAGGATGAGGCCCAGAAATCAGGATTTTAAAAAGATTCCCAGGTGATTCTAATGTGCAGCCAAGGTGGAGAACCACTGCCTTAGAGCCTTTAAGGCCAATATGCTTTGCAAATCTCCGACAGGGGAACAAATTATTCAGCATTTCTCAAATTCACTTGACCCCAAAACTCATGTTTTACAAAGTTCCTCTTTTTATTTATAGAAGTTACAGAAACACTGTGGATGAAAGATACAGTGGGTGATGCAGATGAAGTATACAATATAGTTCCTGTCTTTCCTTTAAGGCAGACATGGTCTTGCTGGGGAAACAAAGCTTTTAAAACAAATGGGCATAAAACAATGATTGACCTGTTCCATAGAGAGCAGATTTCAGGTAAAATAAGCAGGGAAGGGAAGATCAGTGTGGGTTGAGACACCTGGAGCTGAGATGATAGGAAAGGTATAATTTAAACTGGGGCTTGAAAAAATAGGGTAAAGGAAAGGGGTGGGGGGATGATGGTAAACAAAACAGACAGAAGAATGAGTGAGTGAGGAAATGGGTGACAGGTTTGCATAAGTCTGATTTTTCATTTGTTCAGATAGACCAACCAAGGGGGGTTTACTGGACAATCTATATACAACTGATTTTATGTTTTAAAGATATTTTATTGACCTTTTACAGAGAGGAAGGGCGAGGGATAGAGAGTTAGAAACATCGATGGGAGAGAAACATCCATCAGCTGCCTCCTGCACACCCCCTACAGGGGATGTGCCCGCAACCAAGGTACACCTGGGCCCCTTGAGTCTGCAGGTTGACGCTCTATCCACTGAGCCAAACCGGCTAGGGCCACAACTGATTTTATAAACTACTTTTTAAAATATGTTTTTATTGATTTTTTGGAGAGAGGGCGAGGGAGAGAGAGATTAAAAACATCAGCGAGAGAGAAACATTGATCAGCTGCCTCCTGCATGGCCCCTACTGGGGATCCAGCCTGCAACCCTGGCATGTGCCCTGACTAGGAATCAAAACAGTGACCTCATGGTGCATGGGAAGATGCTCAATGCACTGAGCCACACCAGCTGGGATAAACTACTTTAAAAAAATATATATTTATATATATTTATTGATTTCAGAGAGGAAGGGAGAGGGAGGAAGAGATAGAAACATGAATGATGAGAGAGAATCATGGATCGGCTGCCTCCTGCACACCCCTTACCCTCCCTCCCCACTGGAGATTGAGCCTGCAACCTGGGTATGTGCCCTTGACAGGAATCGAACCTGGGACCCTTCAGTCCGCAGGCTGACGCTCTATCCACTGAGCCAAACCAGCTGGAGCTAAACCACTTTAAAATGTCTTATTTTTAAGCTCAAATGATTACTAGCAATTCATTCTGGACTAGTTTTTCTTAGGAGAAAATAATATCAATAGCAAACATATCAACTGCACATCAAGAGAGGTGCCTCAGGCAGCCTGAAAGTGCTCTGTTCTCCCACATATCTACAGTTCCTTATCCAGAACTCCCAAACCCCAAAGCTCTAAGTTCTCTCCCCCAAGTGATTTTGTGGCAAAACCTTTCCTGAACTGATAAGAGGCTATCTATAGTCTTTATCTAGCCCGCTTAGTGTGAATATCCATTCATTTGGGGATGCTATCCCAGACTACATTGGTGTATTCTATAAATTGTAGTATACGTATCATGTCATCTTTCTAAACTCTTAAAATTCTAAATTCTGACAAGGGTCTCTAAAAAGGGACTGTGGACCTATAGACCTATAATTCTTATTTGTACCCTAGATTTATGCTGTCTGTGAAAATAAGTGTTTGCTATGTAGCACAGCCTATGGGTGACTCTGATTTAAAAGGGGAAAACAATAGATGCTCAGTAAATATTTGCCTATTTTCTCCATTCTCTACTTAATAAATATTTATTAATGGCTTCCAATGTACTGGTTCTGTCTCTCGTCTCTAGGGATACAGCAGGGAGGGAAACAGCTAAAGCCTCTGCCTCCTGCAATTATTTTTGGTAGGAGTGACAATTAACAAAGAGAAGCTAGTGTCTGGAGTCGATCAATCTATGGAGAAAAAAATCAAGGAGTAAAGGGTTCTGGGGCATGTTATTTTTCAAAGGATGGTCTGGGGCCCAGCTGGTGTGGCTCAGTTGGTTGAGCAACGTCCTGATGCACCAAGAGGTTCCTGGGTGGATTCCTGGTCAGGGCACATGCCCAGGTTGTAGGCTTAATCCCCAGTAGGGGGTGTGCAGAAGGCAGCAGATCAATGATTCTCTCTTATTGATGTTTCTCTCTCCCTCTCCCTTCTTCTCTCTCTAAACTAAATAAAAACATATTTAAAAACAAAACAAAGGATGGTCTGGGAAGAAGTCTCTGAGAAGGTGACACTTGAGCAAGGACGTGAAGGAGTAAGAGAGTGAGCCTGGGATCAGGAAGAAGTGTCCAGGCAGAAGGGACAGCGAAGGTAATGGCTCTGAGGTGGGGCCGTGCGTGAGTGAGGGAGGAAAATGTACGTGCTTTATAGGGAGTATCTCATCTAATCCCCCAAACCCTTACGAAGTCCGCTTGGCAGATGAGGAAACTGAGCTCTGCGAGGGGAGCCTTTTGCACAAGGCCACGCAGCTGTGAGCGGCAGCGCTGGGGTTCGCTCTGGAGCGAGGTGTTGCGGCCAGCTTCCCCTCGAAGTCCCTGACAAGCCCTTTGGAAGGCACGCAGAGACCGAAGCCTTCCCAACCCTGCAGGCCCTGCCTCGGTCTCCGTCCTCAAAGGCTCAGACATCTGGCTTCCGGGGTGACCTTGGCTCTCCTGGCTGCTGAGAACCGCACAGGCCTTTGGGGCAGGGCAGGCTCTCCAATAAGGTGGCTCGAGGAGCCAGGGCAGGGCTCCTCCCCTACTTACCTTTCCGGATGGCACCTCTGCTAAGCCCTCAGAGCCCCGGGAGCCTGCACTTCCAGGATCCCATCAGCAGGGCGAACACTGAGGCTCACAGAGCAAGAGCACTTACCTGAGGCCACGCTGGCGGCCACCGAGTCGTCCCAGGAGCCCATGACCTTCAGACCAAACTTCTCTTTGGACTTGGCCTGGGCCCCCAAAACGAGGAGCATCTCTTTAACTCTTGTGCTCTGGGCACCTCAATTAATTCACCTTAATCGAGACCCTGTAAAGGAAAAAAACCGTGAAAGTCACCCCTACTCACCACCTGTTCACTCACACCCACCGCGCTGGGCTCCCGGGGACCAGGAGAGCACCTCTCTGGGGCCGTGCACCCCAATGTCCCACTGAGAAAGAAGAGCAGGGAAAGGTGGTTGGTGGTGCAGATGGTGGGGGTGTCTCCATGGCTTTCTTCCAGCCTTCAGGTGGCGCCCTCGAGCCGCACGAGTCAGTGAAGACCGTCGGGACCTAAGGACCAGGTCCTACCTGGGGGCTGTGTGCCGGGCAGAGAGGGGAGGGCTGGGACGGGGAGGAGGCGCCTGAGATCGGCGCAGTCGGGGCGCC